AGGCAGAGAGAAGGGTGGGGGGTGGGGGGGTTGGATGGAGAAGTGAGAGTTGAAGTGAGCGAGGGGGGACAGAAATAGCCGGCACACTGTTTTATAGGGTCTGCACACAGCAATGATTAATGTGGCCGGGCCAGGGGATGGAATTAGATGGTGCACACGTTGAGATAACCAAGTTCATCTGAAGGTACTTCCACACGGCAGCTGGCCACTGGCCAAAGGTACTTAGCCTCAGAGGAAACTGAGGAGATTGACCCTGCGTTATTACAGCAGGCCAGACACAATGTTAAAGACAAGTCCGAGATACACTCAGCAGGGTTTAATATAACATAACAATATGGATATGTAAGCCTAAACACTGAACATGTAGCAGTGAGCATTGCTGGCTTGACACAGGAAAGCTCTACTTTAATTTTGAAGTTATAACAAGAGAAGACTGTGATTTAAACATTTTAGTTTTTGGGGTTTTCCCTTTCCTGTTGTTTGTTATATAGGTTTTTGTGCCTGGAATTGCAAAGGATCAAAGTTCCCCTGCCTGAAACGCCTCCATTGGACTTCTTTGTTTACTTCCGTAACATAATTAAATCACCATATAACCCTCTCACTTCTATTGGCTAGGCCTCCAACACATTGAACGTGAAAGGCCAAGGGGCGGGACATCTCTAAGCTAACCAATCAGAGCAGGCTGGGCTCTGGTTTCAGGGGTAACAGAGGTGCTGCAGCACAGGCAGGCAGTATGAGGAAAATAAAGAGCTTTTTGAACATTAAAGTGTCGAAGCAGAGGCACAACATACAATGATGACCTGAACATTAGCATAATAGGGCCACTCTATAGTGCAGAGCTTAGAATGAGCCAATTACAACACAACCTTATCTTAGATAATACTCACCTAAAATATAATTAAAAAAACACTTGTGATTTCATGATCGCAATTAGTTAACATTAGTTAAAAATAAGAGATAAAGAAAACAAACGTTAAGAGCATTGTCGTTGTTGGTCTTTATTTAATCATTATTTAGTTTTAGCAATGTCTATTACATTACTTACAATAACTTAATAAATAACTGCTGATACTGCTGTTTGATCATAATTCATATTTTGTTACTCAATTTGCCAATTCAATCTGTGCATCTATTCTTAACATCTTATAGTAAATGTAACTTAATGACCATGATTTAACTATGAACGCTGAAGAGAAGGTAAATCAAAACAAGTAGTCATTCAAAAGGAATGTCAATAGGTGCCTGACAGAACTGATTGATGATGGGCCTTAAACATGAATTGTTTAAAAACTGTTGATTGACTTTACTGTAACGTCCTGGAGCTTCCTTTGAGTATGTTGACTGTTCATAATGAAAACAGGTACATTTCAACACAGAAAATACATCTTGGCTCTAAAAGTCAACTCAATTTGTAAAACAAAATGGCATTTAAAAGAAAATGCCTCAGCTTCTTGAAACCATGCTATATTTTTTATCTTTGAACTTCCCCCACACTATCAACCAAGAGGAAGTTGGTGAAAGCCGAACAGTCACACGGTAAGCAATGTGACTCTCAAGGAGTCAATTATGCAAAAGCACTTTGCATAATTAACTCATTTTACAAAAGACAGAGACGACAATGGATTAAATGTTTCATATTCAAGTGAACAGAGTCATCACGTTCATCGAAAGAAAGATATAGAAAGAAAACATTCCAGCATTAACCCCTGGGATCGTCTCAGGTCAGATGTAGATTTGCTTAGAGACACAGCTCTGAATTATCTATGCATCGAGCACAGGTGTAGTTTAGTTAGCGTGACAGCAAGAGTTCAAATGATCCCAGCAGAAAGTATTAGCAAATAAACAATATCAATGTCTAATGTGTAGTTTTAGGGCTGCAACTAAGGAGTATTTCAAGTATCAATTCACATTTTATCGCATTGCAAAACATAAAAAGTCAGAAAATATTGAAAAATGTCATTTATCATTTAACACAGTCCAAACATGAAGGATATTCAGTTTCATAGGACGGCCGGCTCACATTTAGAGAGTGTGTGTAACTTTCCTCACACAGATCCTTACCTCAGATAAAGCTTCAGTGTACTGGTTATCGTCTTCACGTCCCAGTCCTCGCCGGTGGACAGATCCATGTCAATGTTCGTCTCATCTGGATGAATCACAATCAAGAAACGGATTTTTACGGAAAGTGACATTACCCGAAGAGACAACCAAAAGCAGAAGCTAACTGTTGTTTTTGCATAAAGCAGCGAAATAGTCTTTGTGGTTTTGTGGGCAGCCTAGAGAGCCAAAATATATAATATAAATATGTTACTTGTAATTAGCCATGTGAGGATTAAAGCAGCGCTTCCAGCCCTGGGCGTAGAGTCGAACCTCAGTGGAAATGGAAGAAAGTCACATCTTCTGTAGGGTGCTGCTGTTTCTACACTCGTTACAAGTTTAATTAATCCCTCACTACTTCTACAGCTCCATGGAGACTCTGGGGCCGTGTTGCGCTGAACATTCAGGCGGCTTTAGTGACACCTTAAGTAACCTCTGATGAATGAAAGAGGATGTGGAAGTGCAATGTGTCAGTGAGTCAGACACATGTACTGTACAGGGCTCAGGTCACCGCGCAGACTTTAGCTTTGTGGGTGTTAGCTGGTCTTTGACATGGACATTTTTATTTCATTCAAGCACTCTAGTCAGTCAGGAGGATTGTGTGTTTCTCAACCTTCTCTGTCCACAGAATGGCTTGTCCAATATCAACGTCTGAAGCAAATGCTTTTAAGGAGTGTTTGTAGCCAAGGTGCCTCTGCAAGTGTGTGTGTGTGTGTGTGTGTGTGTGTGTGTGTGTGTGTGTGTGTGTGTGTGTGTGTGTGTGTGTGTGTGTGTGTGTGTGTGTGTGTGTGTGTGTGTGTGTGTGTGTGTGTGTGTGTGTGTGTGTGTGTGTGTGTGTGTGTGTGTGTGTGTGTGTGTGTGTGTGTGCGTGCGTGCGTGCGTGCGTGCGTGCGTGCGTGCGTGCGTGTGTGGAGACGGATGGGGTCTGCTCAGGCTCTGAAGTCTGCTCTTGCACAAACAGGCTTACATTTTGTAGGTCAAGGACACACAGAAACATTTTTGGCAGCAGCAGATGGAGTAGCATTGATTATGGCAGTGCTGACCATANATAACTTTTCAGTAACATTACTCACTACATGGACACATTTTGAAATGAAAGTGTGTGTGTGTGTGTGTGTGTGTGTGTGTGTGTGTGTGTGTGTGTGTGTGTGTGTGTGTGTGGAGACGGATGGGGTCTGCTCAGGCTCTGAAGTCTGCTCTTGCACAAACAGGCTTACATTTTGTAGGTCAAGGACACACAGAAACATTTTTGGCAGCAGCAGCAGATGGAGTAGCATTGATTATGGCAGTGCTGACCATAAAGCAGAAGCAGGTCCAAATATACAATGCTTTGTTATTTTACCTTAGGCATAGATCAAGCCCCTTGGGGGATTACATAACTGTGTGGTGGCTGTAGCATAGCATCTAAAGTTGGAACTGCAGCTCCCATGAGACAGTTAGATGCCGAAAAACATTTTTGCTATACAGATCCATTATGCAGGAAGAGTTTGGTAAACTAGGAGAACATGGATGGACCATTGCACACTTTTTAAAACTCAGAGTTGACTTGAAAAACTGTTTCCAACTATACCAGATATCATCATATCACATCATATCATGCAATGATGGTAAAACAATTAAATAAATAAGTGTAGATATCTGCAATGTCATCAATCACAACAATGCATGTATATGTGACAGGTGTGATGTAGACATGTTGAATTGTACCAACAGTTTAAAAAAGATGACAAGTGGGTGTCAACGGGTAAAAGGATGTGCTTTTACAGGTTGGTGCAGTGATGAGAATGCCTACTTGCTTCTCCTTTAATCACTGATTGCTTCCTGTAGGTAATGACCACATGTATTTCCTTGTTGTTTTTAAATAGCCCACCAAGCTGCCTGTATGCTTCAAATATAGATTTTAAATGTTTTTGAAATTGACGCCCGCATCAAGCTGTGATTAGGGATTTCTGTTCCTCCAGTTTTTCTTTATTACATTATATATGTAACTATTTCTGTAAGCTTAATGTTAGCAGCGGCAAGTGCAACAGTATTAATGTCTTTCAGAAAATACTGTCTGAAGTCAAAATAATATCGGGTCCCTCCCCTCTCCAGCTTTTAACTCCTCCTGTAAGAGAGGACGTGCAGAGCCACTACATTCGATTGACAAAGGGGTGTACAAGGTTATTTTGTTTAAGTATAACCTGATTTGCTTTGTAACCTCTTGTGGGTTCTGGACTCTCACTGGTCTATAGGGCGAGTGGAAAACTGTGTTACAAGAGTCATCAATCATGGTTTCAAGATCTTGTTTTGAATTAATGTTGTTTAACACAAGAAGAAAGCAGCATACACATTTTAGGCATTGGGTCAGCACTCTGGGACAAATGAATGTATACTCATTACCGGTCTAAATTATGAGAACGTGGAATTGAACAGTTAGTTCATTCCTCACATCTTTCCTCAAATGTGCCTCGCTCTGCAAGTATATCTATAGAACTAAGACGTCTTACTCAGCAGCTGTGATGGCCATATCCCATCCAACCCTTACTCCCTTGCCTCAGCCCACTTGTACTTCCTGGTATGTTGTTTCCTGACACTCAATAGGTGCTGCTCTCTTTGATTTGACTGTATATGATGGGAAACTTGTTTTCTATCACTGTCCTCTCTGATTGGACCCTGGCCATGTCGGTGGGTGAGGGATGAAAAGGAGGAGGAGTGGGAGGACCAAAGTCTTTCTTAAGGGTTTAAAGCTCACTGCACCCACTCACTGTGAACAGTTGAATGCATGAAAGGTTAGCAAACGTTTTGGTTTTTGTAGAAGTAGTACTACCTCGGTCATTTCATGGATAACATCTAAGTTGTGTTTCAGGCCATATAATAATCAGGCAGTGAAGCAAACATTTAAAGTGTAAGTATTATCTGTATTTTCCCCCTTAGTCACAATATTATGTGGAATGTCAAGCCCACAGACGAACACAATGTGCATACTGCTTACTGCACATATTTCTTGTTTCATATCCTATAATTCATTCATAGCATTCTATTTGTAAATGACTGCTTTATTGTATTGCTATTTAACCATATTTTATTACGGTGTCCTTAAAGATTTTTTGTTTCATATTAGATTTCTTGTTTTATATTTTTTGTCTGCACCATGACATCAAGTCAAATTCCTCGTATGTGTGAACCTACCTGGCAATAAACCTGTTTCTGATTCTGATTCTGATCTGAACACTTATTTCACTATACTCTGGCTTTAAAACACTTTTAAGAGTGCAGCAGCAGAGTGTTAATGGAGTCCACAGCATGAGTCGGCACGTGGTGGGGCTGGATTTGGAGAGGAAGCTGAGACAGGCTGACGGCTGCCTGAGTTTGTTGTCATTCTGAACACAGAGCTGAAAGTGAGCTGGTGTCTGGTAGAGACGGCAGGGAACCAGAGAGCAGACAGCGAGCAATAGAAAGGACAGAGGACAAGCTCGATAGAAAAAGGACTTGAGTGAAAGGGATTCAAGACGAGTGAAAATGAGAAAATGGACTGATAACTAAGCCAGCCACGTGTGCTAGAGGCAGTTTTTAGGGGTGTGTTAATGGATCAAAAGCCAGAAAGGGCGGGAGGGGTGCTGTCTGCCTGTCTGGGGGATATTCAACTAAATTAATTAAAGTTTAGATAAGCCCAAGCACTTGTTGCACTTTAAAGGGACACGTTGGGATGAGTCATGGGCCGATTGTCAGGAAGTATATTTTTTAATATCGACTCGACAGTCACATCCATTATGTCAACACACTCAATTCACTGCGAGCAACCTAACATCACAGAGGAAGTGCAGTATAGCTTGTACATTTGACTAAGCTCTTAACGGGAAGAGTTCCCGTTAAGAGCTTAGTCAAATGTACAAGCTATGTAAAATACATTTCAAAGGCAGAAAGAAAAGACAATAATTTGACTTACCAATCATTAATGAGAGGAGCTTCTGGACCTTGGAGGACACCCCAACAACTCTGTACAGGCCTTGGTCATTAATACCTGATAGATAATACAAAAGAAAAAACGTTATTTGTATAGCACTCATCTTAATGAAGTTGAAAAATGGACAGAATATTATATGATATACATACACACAACGACAACCCTGTTTGTGTTTATGGAAACAATATATCAGATATAAGAATATGTCAATCAAATTCAGTGAGATAAACATTTGCATAAAGAAATGTTGCGTGACTTTTGTAAAACCCCAATGGAAAAGAGGTCAGATGAGCGTGAGAACACTGAGGCAATTGAATAAGAACTTCAGTGCGACGCAGTGAAAGCATTAGTAGTATATGCAGTGACACTTCCTGCAGTACCTGCCACTCTGCCTTGTTTCAATGTTGGAGCAAGTGTGCCCCCTTGTGGACAGATAACGATACTGCACCAATTCTCATGTCATATACAGTATCCTCCAATTAACACTGAGCTTTTCTTTATATACATATGTGAAGCTCACCTCTCGTCTCTATGGCGCTGATAGAGTTCTTCATAAAACTCAAACCCACTTCGTCCAGCTGGGCATCAACTGCAGCAGGAAGACAAACAAAAACAAAAACCAACAACTGTTAAGAGAATTACTAATATGCGTTTACAGATACAAAGTCTAGTACAACTAGATGTCTTACTTCCTCTTTCTTTGGAATAAGTCCTCCCAAGATAGTGTCCAAACTGTAAAAGAAAATAACATCATCATCATCATCATCATCATCATCATCATCATCATCATCATCATCATCATGACTATTTCAAGTTGATCAATCAAATCAATCAATCAATCAATGTTTATTTATATAGCCCAATATCACAAATGTTACATTTGTCTCAGTGGACTTCACAGTTTGTACAGAATATCAGTATGACAATACGACACCCTCTGTCCTTAGACCCTCACATCGTACAAGGAAAAACTTCCAGAGAAAAACCCCACAGTTTAATGAGGGGAACATGGGAGAAACCTCAGGGAGAGCAACAGAGGAGGGATCCCTCTCCCAGGACGGACAGACGTGCAATAGATGCCGTGTGTAAATTGAAAAGATAATACATTTGCAACATCAAGTATGCTCAGACCTTGTGTAAGGCAGGGAATTGCAGGTATATGGAAGTGTATTGAAGTAAAAAGACGGCAGTGAAACCGAATACAGTGAGGCTACATGAGTAGAGTGTGAGTGGTAGATGATGACAGAGTGCAGGCAGCTGACTCACAGGTTCCTTGCCACCCATGGCCTCCATCCAAAACTTGTGGTCATCCTCTGACAGAGCCTGTACTGTTAGCACAGTGCCGGGCCTGTAAAAACACCACACCACATTAACATTAGACAAAGCCTGGGAGGAACAGTACAGTAAGGCGTTAGGGGATGACAGTGTCAATATCAAAAATGATCAAATTAGTTTAGGACACATGCACCTTTGAAGTGCAGCAACAAATGTGATCCCTATTAGTCATCCAAGCTGGTTTATGAGACATGGGACCAGGCGGATATCAGGTTTCTCATCTCAATCAGAATGAATGTGAGGACTCGTGTTTCCATACTAAATGTGGGGTATTGCTTTTCTATTTATACAACAGAAAAAGGGCAGGGTAGAGTTAAGTTAAGACAAACTTAGGGGTCTATTCCTGTAGGGCACAGCAGGGTGTGACAAATCCTCCAAGCTAAGTGTGTGTGGGCAGCCCTCCGACACAAATCCTGCTCTCCTACCCTCTGCAATCCAACTCACTTAGCAGTAACTGAAACAGCGAGTGTGAGGAGCTAAGATCTTTAGCAAGACTGTTAATGTGGAATATCAGATCATATATGTGCTCTTTGGACAAGGCACATGGGTTTTTGTTGTTTTCACTGATATTTTTTTTTTTTTATCATACATTTTTTATTGCAAAATCTTCGATTTACAACACAGTACAGAAGACAATTCAGGTTGCACAACATTTTGGATTAATTCAATCCCATCCCTCTATCCTACATCCCACCCACCTACCCACCCCCACCCACCCGGGGCAACAATATAACAATAACAATATCCCCTCAGGGATAGCATTCTTGTTTGGAGATATTAGTTATTAATTCATTAATAATAATAATAATAATAATAATGATATATATATAATAATAAACTGATATTAAAGAGTCATCCAAGAGAAACTTTCAAAAACGAAATGTGACATTTAGACATGGACAAATTAATAACTGTAACTACAAGCATAATACAAATACAGTGTTTATTTGAAAACAGTGTTTCAGGTGGCGACGTACCGGTCTGTTATGTCGAGTTCTAAGCAGAACCTCCTGTCCAACACGTCTGTCGTTTTGCGGAGACAGGATTTAAGCGTGACGGACTCAGTCTCACCCTGAAAACAAAAAGACCAAACTTTACTGTACAGAATGTTGTAATAACAAAGTAATAAAGATAGCACAGCATTTGAAAAATCAAACATGGCAAAGTGGCCGAGATATGATAGAAATAGTTTGCTATTGATAACCCAAGATTCTATTTGTTCTATGACTACTCACAATCTTGCCACCAGATCTGTGGTCAAAGGTCACCATGTGCAGGATCTTCTGCTTTTTGACAAACGTGGAGTAACGCTTCACCCAACTTGAGCCAAAGGGAGGTGGTCCTGGGGAAAAAAGGATGCGAAACAGACATTCAACTTGAGCTGTGACGTTAAAGTACAATTTCATGCAAAACGATGTTGTTTCCAGCCTCTCAAATACCGCATATATATTCCCTTCTTTTCTCACTATATCAAATTTAACTGAATGTTTTTTGTGTTTTAGACATTATCTTGGACTTGGACAATATGTGGTGCTTTACATGGACCAAACAAATAATGGTTTAAAAAAGTGAATTACCTGCAGATTGATTGAACAATGAACAAAATAACAACTCTTTTACATGGTCTGTTTTTTTAGGAATATTCTGCAGATGCATCAGACTGCATGACGCTGTTTAGATTTGCATTTCAACATGGATGTTTTATTCATATTGGGAATGAAAGAACATAACTTTTCAGTCCAGAATTGCACACAAGAACACCTTAGATAACGTGAATAACAACATACAGTAAGTACAAAAAACAAGTTGTGTTTTTCAAAATCCCCTTTGGACCCTGACATAGGGCGGTGTATTTTTGGAGAGTTTGTCATGTGCCTTGACTTTATTTCCTTGCAGTAGAGTGTGTGTTATGAATGGGCGTAATATGACTCCCAATATTAGAATACATGAGAACTATAAAAAGGTCTTACGTTTTTCCTGAACATAGAGGTAGCCTTCGAAGCTGATAGCGCTGGTCTGCCTGTAATCCTGAGGTGCGTCCTTTATCCTCTTCATCAGCTCGTACACCTCTGACCGCGCGCCCTCAAATCGACTCCTCGTCTGGGGGGGGAGAGGAAGCAAACACATGCTCCAGGAAGTCACTTCCTGATGCTCAGCGGTTAGGTAGGACGACCTTGCTAATGAGAGGTCGCTGCAAACCAAAACTTATGAGCTTCCCTTGGAAACCCCTTTTATTTCCATGAAATCAGCTGAGTGCTTGGAAGCTATCTGAATCTAAGAATGAAACCGAGATATGGCACTGCATAAGAGAAACCAAACCGATGGAGGTAGGTAGTGAACAGGCGGTTGAAAAAAGGTAAAACATGATGTGGTATCAGAATCTTTTCTCAGGAGTTGGGGGCCAAAATGGAGACGAAAAGGAAAGTACATTCTGGACTTGTATCTGACGGATAGACAGAGAGAGAAGTCCAAAGGTCCATGACGCTCTGTTTGGAGCTGTGTTGTTAATGTTAGGTAGGAATGATTTTTTAAGTACCATGGGAACTTTATAAACTGTTATGAAGGTTTTATTACATGGGCCCTCTCTGCCCTTGAGGTAAGATTGTTCAATTTTCCCTCCGAATCGTATAACGCTCAACATGTTTTCTATTCGTAAGGTAAATCACATATAGAGGCAATTGTTGTCATTGTCTCATCCTGCCCAAAGTACAGATATAACCTTCTTACATTCTGAATATTGATCTGCAGAGCTCTTTTATAATGGTCAAAGTCCTTGGCGAGCTCGAAGCCCTGATGATAGAAGGTGAAGACTGTCTGAAAGAAGGCCAGCATCTAGAAAGATCACAACACAGGGAACAAATGATAAGAGATGTTAATCCAAAGAGTCAGCAAGTGAAAGAGAAACTCATATCAAAATCACTTCTAACCCCATGTGACATATCCTATACTGCCCTTCGCTTTCATTAAACTGAAAAAGACAAGCCACGTCAGTGCTGACACCGAGCTGCGTCACTCACCGGCTCCACACACTCAAACTTCTTCCTCTCCTGGATCTCCTGCAGTTTGCACACATATTCCAGTGACTCCTCCTGAAAGTGCAGCCTCACGTTTTCCACCTGGAGGTCTGCCTGTGGAGGTGGAGAACACACACAGTGATGATTACAGAGGGACGCATGGAAGCAAAGAAGAAACATTGTGATCACTGCGACACAGTGTCATTTGAGGTTTCGCCCTGTTATGGCACTACGCTGTTTGTTCTAATGTGAGCTGTCATAAATCTTTCACTGAAATTGTTTAAACAATTATAAACAGTTTTATTCATTATAACTATTTTTTTTTGGTATTTCATAGTAACTCAATATGTTGATTTTTGATTCAGATTGAAATGAAAAGTTGAAGTGAAAGTTGTATATGCTTGTTTGCATTGTTTTTGTTTAATGTTGTGCTGCATTTTCATCCTAATGAGACTTTTACCTGGTCAAATTCTTGCTAAGGGGATATTATGGTTGGTTGGTTGGTTGGTTGGTTAGTTGGTTGGTTGGTTGGTTGGTTGGTTGGTTAGTGCTCTACCAAATATTCAAAACATTGTTCTATATATAGCTCAAAATAACAGGTTTGTCTCAGAGGGTTGCATAATCTTTTCAACATACAACACCCTCTGTCCTTATACTTTTGAATCTGATGAAAATAGTATATACTGAAATACCCCAAAAACTATAAAAGCAAAACAACATACTCAAAAAATTCCTCAAGAATACTAACGAAAGTGCAACAAAAGAAGTTCCCTCTGCTGAACTGACGTGTATAGACAGAGGACACAGTCAACTGTAACCATGGGGCAATTTAGAGTTGCTAGTTAATCTACAGCAACCTGCCTTTCTTTGCACTGTGGGAAGCACCCAGAGCACCCAGACGGGGGCAGGACGGGGGCGGGGGAGATTTGTTTACTTTTTGCTGTGAGAGCACAACGCAAACTACTGTGCCATCCCAGAAGTACAGTGAACATCAAAGAACTGCTGAGTAGCAATGCTTGAATATAGAAGGAATACAATATAGCATTTATAAATGGATACTTTATTAAGGTATACCAAGATTTGTAATGTAACACAACGAAAGCAACTTTAATACGTAATAAACCTTCTTACTACAGCAGAATAACTGGCTGATATCCTCTCAAACTTAAAGTCAACTACTAAGTTCACGTTATGGTACTATAGTCGCCAATAATGCAAGTCAACACTTTCACATTTGAAGAATATTACGAATTTGTGTGAAATTATAAATAAAAGATTTATTAAACCGTAAATGAAATGGTCTTTTACTTGTGTGACACTATCCTCGTGTTGGCTACAATGTTGGTGACATTCTTATGTAGACAAAAACGTACAGTATGTAAACACAACAGGCAACATCGGGGACAGCAGCAATTATTAAGGTCAGTCAATATATTACATAATATGTCAATAATGTAATTAGCATGACAGGCCTAAGTTAACATACTGACTTACATAATATATGCTTCTGTTTATCGAGTTGCATTTAAAACTGTGGCAGTGTTGTGGCCAGGAACAAATCACAGGGTCTATTTATTCAAGTCGGATAGAAATCAGTGTTGGTGTTCCACAGGAGTCACAGAGAACAGAACAGCCAGCAGTCATGACGTCAACCACTTCAAGTGTCCTCACTGCTTGTGTATACAACATATGGGTACTGTAAGCCTTAAATGGCTACATGGCATGGCAAAGACAAGATGGAAAAAAAACATAGTTTAGTGCAGGTTGCTAAATCCTCCACATATAAAATGTCCATGTCATGGTACTGTAGCATGGATTGTTCCCTAAGCTACAGCAATCAAGTTTGACCTTGGCAGTACAGCTGTGTGAGCACACATTTCCTTTTGATACAAGCCAGGAAAAGTGTTGCTGCAAGGCATGTTAGTGGAAACCCACATGGTCCAGAAGGCTTTGCAGCGAGGCACTTCCCCCATGGCACCAGAGGCCGAAATTAAAAACAGGGACTTTCAAACTAAACAAAAGTACTGTTTTGTCTCTTTTGCCCTCATAATGAATTGGTTTTCTGCATGTCACATGTATGTGTTGGATAGTTTAGGCAAGGATAAATACCTCTTGTAGCTGGGGCTCTTTCTTCTTTGCCGACATATTCAGAAGCTTTTCCAGAGAGCTGTAGTACTTCTCCGTTTCTTTCTCATACCTCTTTCTTTCCGCCTTAGAAAGATAGTGGAGTAAAAGCAGAAAGGGAAAACAAAAAAACTTGATTAATGTTGAGGACAAAGGAGTCAAAACTGTTATTGGTACAATTAATCTGCTATTGCCACCCAACTGTAAAATATGGATTTGTTAAGAATCATTAGGGTACACCAAGCAAACAAATGGATCAACTAAGAGCTAAACCACACATGTTGGGAACAAATAAACATCATACATTACCCTTACTACACCAAGATGGTCTTTCCTGAACTTCTCCAGGGGTTTCATTAAGGTTTCTGTGATGTTTCTCATCTAAACAAGGAACGGAGAACATAATGAAGCCTTCATTATAGCGCAAGTCAATGAAAACCCCCATTGATATTTCATACTGTGTGACACAAAGGTTTTTCCAGCTTGTTTTGACACTAGTAAAGAATGGCTGGTACTAAATGACATCATTATTGGTTGTTTGATGGAGTGACAATTTAAAAGTTATTTTAAACCAAAAGTCAAATCCAATAGTGTATTAGGGAATTGTGACAACCCTAATAACTATTTTTAATAATAGATTTTTTTCTTCCAGTAATGAAATGAATGGATTCTTCCTCATCCCTCCAGTGCTTCTGCTATGCTGGCTGTAAGACATGTCTGTGCCTGCACAGCCATCCTACCTTTCCTAACTGTGCACTGTGATGTCATCCCACTATGCTGAGCAGGGTGTTTACCATTTATGATCTGAGCCAGGCGCTACAACAGTCATCTCAGTCGGCTTCTGATGATGGGCCCTAACCTCAGACTCTACAGACAGACATTACAACACAAGGGCTGCTCATGGAAAGTAGCAAACACTCAATTGTTTATTTCTGTCAGAAGAAGAGGAATGTATTTCTTAAGAAAGTATTCAACACTATCTCTTGCCATCAAACTACTAAGGAATCTTCAAATGAGGAGCTTTTACAAGTGTATTACATAACATCTACAGATCACAAATAAATCACAACACAAGAGGGTGCATCATGTCTTTTATCACAGAATTGTCATAGCGACACTTACAAAACACTTCAGGGTTGGATTCGTCACCATTAAAACCAGGCTTCCTTTAATAAATCTGTAACTTCCTCCATATTGCTTGTGTGATTTCAGTGGTTTACAAATTATCAACCTTGACGACGCTCTCGATGCAGGAGCTGTTTTTATGGTGGTGTGTCTTAATGGGCTATATTGTAGCGGACAAGTGGATTCTGTTCTTTCTGCAGCCACTCCCAGGCTGTGTGACAGTGACCTTTAGACAGGCACAAAGGGAGGAACTGCTTGAACACTATCCATAATACTTATACGCTCTCAAGGGAACGGATATGTGCTGCCTGCTTGATGATTGGGCTGTATTGGACATTGGAGGAAATTATATTATGAGTATCTGTCTGGATCTCTGGCAGATGACAGAGGCAGACATTAATAGATGCAAGTTCCAAATATGGGCAGTAACATGTGTAGGCTGGTTGGCAATGCACACACTGCAAGCAGACAAGGTTAAACAATCCATGTGCAATACACCACAGACACACAGGTATTTCCACTGGCTTTCAAGCAGGTTCAAACTGGTTGCTCTCACCATCAGCTCTCTTTGGTCTTCGAGGTTCTTGAGGAATGAGGAGAACTCTTGCAAAGATTCATCTGAAGAAGAAAAAAATCAATCATCGTAATAAATACAGTTATTTTGCATGACTCATTCACACACACACACACACACACACACACACACACACACACACACACACACACACACCTTAAAATACATTATGATTAACAGCTGTTCCCAACACAGGTGCACATCAAAAACTGCTCTTAATTTGCTGCTGGAGAAAGAACTGTAAATAAACATTTAGAGGGCAAGTCTGCACAGTGGTGGCAAAGCCTAGTGGTTAGTTTCCATCATGCGAGGCGGTGAAACCACACTTACCGATACACTTCTCATCATCCGTCTTTGCATCGCCAATATATTCAAACTGAAACTCTCCCAGGTTCTGCGCGAACTTTCGCTGTGCCATCCCAAGCTCTGCAAGAAAATAGAAAAAACATTACAATCATTGCATTTAAAAGGATGCAGAATGCTAAATATATTTTTTCTAAATGTTCTTAACAAAAAAAATAAAAAAACATAAGCAATCGAGAAAAGGATGTCTGATGCTTCACACAAAGTTAACCACTTTGCAAACATCCTGTTTGTCAGCAGTCGGACGAACAGGATGTCAAACTCGGAGGGCAGGTACCACAAGTTAGCACATGCCAAAAGAGAGCAAAGTATATTGAATCATCTGTTTGCCAGTCATAGCTAACACAAATAATCAGAAGATAAATAGTAGGATGCTTGATAGCCTCAGAGAAAAGTTGATGGTATACCTTTGGGTTGCTAAATATAAGCAATTCATTTCAATGTATGTTGTTTATATATAGTATGTTTGTCTTGTCCCGCTGATATAACACTAATGTAATGTACTGTTATATCAGTCACCGCTTAGTCCTTCCTTAAACAAGCATTAGCAACACAGGTAAGTATGGTCTTTTACTAAAACCACTAAAGTATATTCGTACTTGGTTAATACCACAAACTATTTTCAGATATTGATTTAGATGTGTTTCTACAGCACAGATGACAAACAAAAAACAAATTGCCATCTTAGCATAAGTAAACCTGATATTGAAATGTATAGCACAGCTTTTATCAAATGAAAGAAACAAAAGCAGTAACTAACCAGCATCTTTGCTGATTAGCTCCTCATGCCAGATGTAATGAGGCAGAAGAGAGGATTTCATAACAAAACAGGCCTAAACCTTCTGGAAAGACCCTGATCTTCTCTCTGAGGTGTGCGCTCACTCATGTAAGCTAACCCTGAATTATCCCCTGGATCTGCATTAAAACTATTTCAGATTTTGAAAAAAGAAATGATATTTAAGTCCAGCGTCCTCTACAGCCCTTGCATACACAGCAAAAGTCTATTTCCAAACAGTGAAGAGATTCCCTGAGGTGGGATCTCTGACCCACGGCCGTCCCCTAGGGAAGCATGACAGAATTTGGCAGGGGTATTTTAAGACTGGAGCTGTGCAGTATACTGAGGAGCAGTGTCATTGGATTTGGCAGATAGCTAGGGCTCTATTGGGAACAATTAAACTGGGCTATAAAACTGAAAAGAGCTCTGCACACATCTGTATCTGCTAGAGTCACTCCACAGCTGGCTGGAATGTAGAGCTGCAACTAATGAGATCATATTTTATACAGTCATTTTATTAAATAATCTACATGGTCTTTCCAGTATAAGAAAAAGGGTTACATTAATGAGAAATAGCTGTCATTACTTTCAGGAGTGATTTTATCAAACTGCTTCATATAAAACCAGAACAGTTTTGCAACAGAGGAAAATACATTAGTTTGTTCCCTCATTGTTGGAGAAATCCTTTAAAAAAATGATCAACCCATTGGTAAACTATATAGATTTTCTGTTCACAAACAAAGGTCCCGGACTGGATTTAAAGTGGAATGTTGCAGCTATGCATATTGGGCCACAAGGCCATACATGAGCCTCTGTGACTTAGAAGTCAGGCTTAGCTTAATGCTGCAGAGGCCATCCAATATATTCCGATATTTTATAGAAAAAGCCCTGTATTTTCAATAACTTAACAATTACTCTCGACCTTTGCAAATGTGGGCTTTTTTTAAATAAAGATTACAATAAAATGTAATTACAACGTTTGTTTTATTTGCCCTGTTTATTTCTATCCATGTCTACCCCACTCCGGGTTCTCTGAGCAGTGTGTGTACACATGCTATGGATTAAAGCTATAGCAGGGTGCAAAGCCCAAACATGTGAGAGGTGTTGTTGGAAAAGGTCTGCCTGAGCCTGGCACAAAGGGCAAAGCTTCTGTCTCAACACTTCATTTCAAACAGTAACGGCCCCTACACACGGCGGCGTGCGTTGCCGCTTCAACGTTTCTGCCCATTCACTTTGAATGTGGTGACGTCACGATTCGACGAACTGCATTGTGGGAGCAAAGCGTAGCTTCTCTCGCGGTGCTCGCTGCAAAAGTAGAGCAATGTTCTACTTTTGACGCCTCGACGGAGGTGTCAGCCAATCGAATCATATTCCAGTACAAGCTCTAGCCAATCAAACCGCATGCTTGTGTGTCTGGGGCGGGAGATTCATGTGATTGGTTGTTGGTCGAGTTTCAGCCCCCCCCCCGCGGCAACCGACAACGCACGCAGCCGTGTGTAGGAGCCGTAACGGCCCGTCTACACAGCAGCGTTAAAAAAATCTTCTAACGCTTCTGCCCATTCACTTTCCCTCGCTTTTCACCGAACTGCATTGTGGGGAAGCAAAGCGAAGATTTCCAGGATTTCAGGATTTAAAAGTTGAGCAATGTGCAACTTTTGAAGCTGAGGTGGAAGCGTCAGCCAATCAAATCCCGTTTATGCAAATCTGACAGTACAAGCGCTAGCCAATCAAACAATGTGTAAACTGGGAGAGACATACCGCAGTT